GTTATTTCACAATATAGCAACTAAATAGGCTTTTTAGACTAAAAATTAACAAAAATTTCCCTCTTTTGCTGGTTGGTACACAAGGAATAGTGGCTAATTAAAAAAAAGAAAAGATTCAGAACATTCTGGTAGCTCAAAGAAGATAAAACTTAATGGCTGTTAAAACTGGGTGTTTGTTTTGTCATTTTGAAATCATATTTAATTTTTGGCCATATCTATCTTACTGAGTAGTTTAAAGGATAAACAGTTCAAACAGTAAGAAAAAAGCAGTTTGTGTTTTGTCAGTTTTAAACTTTAGATCTCAGTAAATCATTGCTGTAGCCTTCTTTATCTTTTGTTTGCACAAAAAACCTGTTAGAATTATGTCTGGGGGGACCATCTGCTGTGGTTCCCAGTCTTGTCAGTGTGATAAGGGGTAAGCTGTATAAACAGGGGCAACCACACACAAAAAATGAGAGAGAGGGAGAGAGAGAGAAACAGGGAAAGGGGAAAAATAATTTTAAAAAGTAGGGTGTTGTTAGGGAAAGGCAAGTACAATATGAATTCAATTTTATAACATGGTCACACAAAGCCATAGGATTTTCCTCATAGTCTATCAGGATTGAAGCTGTAATATATTTATTTCGAAATCACGGGTTCCAGTTGTATATGGTTTATCTCTTCCCATTAATATGATTATAGGGCTCCTGTTTTAGTAAGGCTTTTAAAAGTCCTATTTGGCAAGGCTTTTAAAAGTCCTTTGAAAATATTTCAGTATAGCACTTGACATTGCAGTATTTTCCAGATTGTCTCTTTTACTTTTTGGATCTTTTTTTTCCTCCCCTAGCTATTAATTTTTCTGTGACTTGAATCCTCTGAAATCATCCTTTCCTTTTTCATTTGCAATGAGGTCATGGTGCTTCATGAGGAGAAAGCCAGTCATTTCCATGGCAACATACTCTATCAGAACATCACATAGCTGCCTTGCCCCTTACCTTTAAACTCTCAAGTGCAAAGAGAAGGAGATGCGTAAGGAGTGGCATTGTTACAATGTATAATCCCAGGATTCCACAGTGAAAGAAAAGTCAGTGAAGAAAATAATCATTTTAAAAGTGCCTTAGATTCACACACACACATTTTATAGTTTATTGAACAGGCTTTTTAAAGATGATTAAATGAAGAGTCCAAAGATAGATTTGAAAGCTCACCTTTTAGTGCCTCAGAGAACACTAAAATAATAAGTAACTGAAATACCCAAAACAACTGCCATCGATTTCATTGACTCATAACGTATTAAGCAGTTACTCCATTTATTTGAATTCTGCCTTTGCATAAAAGCTCTGATTTAAGCTAATATTACTTCAGCATGATAGTGGTTCCTTGAACTTATAAAGGAATTCAAGAATTTTATCAACTTTTTCTTTTCTTTTTTAATTAAGAGGAGGTGCTAGAAAGACTCACTTTTTTGTGGAAAAAAAGAGGACAGTCTATTTCTTCATCATTATTGAAAATGTCATACCCTTTAGTACCTGTAGGGTAAATCAGTTGTTATTTTACCGACTCCTAGCATTTTCGACATTTTATTGAAACATAACGTTAAATTCCTGAGTAGCACATTTCTTGGTGTTCTCTGTGAAGATGGTGAATGTTGCCAGCGTTAGCACTTGTTTCCCTGTGTTCCTGCTATTGGGTGATCTGCATTCCTAGGAGTGCCCTGTACGTTAGTCCTTATTCTAGAACCTACCCATTTATTGGAGTCCTGGTGTGGTGCTGTGGGCTAATGCGTCAGACTGCAAAGTTGTTTGAACCGCAAAGTCAGTGGTTCAAGCTCACCAGCTGCTCCTTGGAAACCCTATACAGGGTTGCTATGGGTCAGAATCTCGACGGCACTTAACAACAAAAACCCATTTATTAGGAACCTGGTTGCAGGTACTGTAGGCTACTTGGCAGCAGGGCAGGACCTTTCAGTTCTCTGTGCTTGTGTGGCATAGAGGAGCACTGGTGTCACTGTGGGCTAAGCATTTTGACTACTAACCGCAAGGTCAGTGATCCCAACCCACCAGTCACTCAGTGAGAGAAAGATGAGGCCATCTGCTCCTGTGAAGATTTACAATCTTGGAAACCCTCTATCGGGTGGCTCTGAGTCAGAGTGCATTTGATGGCAGTGGGTTTGGCTTTGGGTTTTGTGTGGCATTCAATAAATGTGTGTTGAGAAACATAACCAGAAGAAAGAAGTTGAGTGTTTGTGATACACTAGTATTTTTCCAGGGCAGTGGGATATATCCTTCTAATTTTTTTTTTCTTCTTCTGTGGGTGTTCCTACACACAGTTGGAATTATGTTCCCCATGTCCATTTTGTGTCTTTATTTAACAGTTTATTTTGATATGTTAATGCACTACTGTCTTGCACTTTCCCTGACCTCATAGCAACCATCACAAGAGGACTCCTAGCTGGTGTCTGCTCCCTGTCTCCCTTTGTTTCTGGAGAGCTAATGTTGACCACCCTAAGCTATCTGGTGTGGGAGAAGGTCGTGAAGACTTCCCAAGTCCACAGGTACTACTTGGCAGAGTGCATTAGCCTTTCTTACTGTGGACTATTAGAGAAGAGGGTTTAAAGAGTGAGATAAGGATTAGCTGTGTACCCCTATCTGGCTTGAGAAACAAAGCATTATTGATATGTTGAAGCCTCCTATGTCTGGAACTGAGAGGCAGGGATACAAACTTCATTATCCTTTTCTGCTTGTTTACTCCAGAAAAGCTTCAAGCTTCAAAAGAAGTCTTGTCCTCTGCACTTCCATAGTACTACCCCCAGGCCTCTGTGTAGTATTCAACCTGGCAATGTATTGTAACCATCTGTTTGGCTGTCTGTCACCTCTTACCAGGCTGTACTTCATCTGTGTGTCCCCAGTCCTGTACAATAGCTGGAATGGAATAGGTGCTCAGTAAGTGTTTATTGTGTGAATGTGTGAATAGGAGCAGCCCCTTTATAACAAACACTGCTTTAATGCAGGATTCTGTTTAGCAAAACTATCTCCCTGTCTAGCCCATCGTTACAGGCCCTTGCTGCTCTGATTTGAACAAATTGAATTAAACATAAAATTCTGTAGAACAGATGCATTTACAAGTCTCTGCTCACACAGCTGCTGGTCTGTTTAATAAAAACATTGCTGTTTTGATTGGGTATTCATAGTTTTTCTCAGTGTTAACTCTTTTCGCATCCTTGTGTAAGCCGAGACTGTAGACTGGGTAGGAGAATGAGCCAGTGGTCTGAACCAAGAGGGAACAATAGACGTGGATGCAAAGAGGAAAGAGCTGTGGTCTTAGATGTACTGATAATGCAAAGGATAACGCACATATGTCTTTGACCCCATATTTCTCAGGCAATTATTCTAGTGTTCCTTCATTAACTCACCAATTCTTACTCTAAATTACCATTGTTTACAAAGACTATTTAATGATGCATTAGCTTAAAAAAATTTTTTTAAATTGAAGTGCAATTTATATATGTATATGCATGTGCATGTATGCACACACACACACATATGAATATGAAAAAGCATGGCTCTTAGTGTACACTCACTGCATTTTTCCAATTTTATGTACCCGCATAACTGCTACCCAAAAAGATATTGTCATCACCCCAGAAAATCCTCTATCTCTTTCCAACCATTCCTCCTTCTCCCCTGTCCTCTGCAGCAGCTACTTTTGTGTGTGGCTTCTTTCACTCCACATAATGCTTTTGAGATTCACCCATGTTGTTGCATGTATTCCATTTGCTTTTACAGCAGAAACGTGTGTACATTGGCAATCAACTCCAAATCTGTTTTTGACTTCGAGCTGAGAGACTGGGTGGTGAGTGCTCTTTGAGGAGAGTTGTTAATAGAATTAATCGCAGAAGCTAACGTGTAGAGTGCTGTCCTCGTGCTAAGTGCTTTACGCTGGTTCTCTTCTTTAACAGCCCCTGCGAGATCTGTTTACTTTGTTCTCTATGACAGACATATTCAGTGCAAGTCTTGACATTCGATGAAAGACTTGACATTTGCCAAAATGGCATGCGCGTTGTAAAATTCTGATTGTTTTCTTCAGGACTAAGCACTGTTTGTGGATAGTATTGGTGGGTTGAAACCATCAACAAGAGGAGAAATGTGAAAGGACAGTAGAAAATAGGCATTGGGGAAGACAGCAAGCAATGCAAGTAGCCCAGCCTAGATTCCCCCAGAGACTTACTGTGAAGAAATCGCCTTTGTGTGTGAGTAGTTGTGAAGCCTTTCAAAGATGCCTGTAACATGCTACGCCCTTGTGTCCATTCAGATTTGTGCTAGCCTAGATTTTTGCTTCTGCCAGCACTCACATAATGTGTACTTACTATGTGCTCACTGCCTTACATTTATAAAGTCTCACAATTCCTGAAGGTGGGCTTGTTTATTCATTCATTTATTTTAATCCTCTTGCCTTCAGCTGCTAATCAGAAGGTTGGAGATTCAAGTGCATCCAAAAGCACCTCTGTAGAAAGTAATAGAAGACTAGCAATCTACTTCAGAAAATAAATAGATAAATAAAAAATCAACCCTTGGAAATGGATTGGGGCACAGTTCCACTCTGACACATAATGGGTCTCTGTTGTTGTTGAGTGCCCTTGAGTTGGTTCCAACTCATAGGACCCAGTGTCGGGTTTCTAAGGAGTGCCTGGTGAGCTTGAACAGCCGACCTTGTGGTTCAAACTGACCTTGCAATCCAGCGCAGTAATCCACAGCGCCACACCAAGACGTAGAGATGTGTTTTTATAACTTTTCTTTGCTAAGGATAGTTTGAAGTATTCCGTTATCTTGTGGTGTCCTGTATTCAGAAAGCATGGTCATTCTTTTTTTTTCTTTTTCTTTTCTGTAGCACGCTTTATTAGGAACAGAGGGAACCTGAGTACCGGAGACACAGGTGCCTCGCTGAGGGGCTCATGGACTGTCGTTAACAAGGACAGTGTCTGGTGCTCCCAGAGAAGTACCCAGTGTGGGCTGGAGCTGGGCTTTCTGGCTGGGCAAGGCTCCTTCCAGTTCACTATTCAATTCCTTCTTGCTTGTCTTTGATGGCCACCCGGAAGCGCTCCTCCAACAGGGAGAGCTCGCTGATGAGGTCCGTGATGGCGTTGGTGAAGGCCTCCTGCGGGCTATAGTCGGGGGCGGTCTGCACTCGGATGATGATCTTATGCTCCAGGGGTGGGGGACTTTGTAGCCGGCGAATAGCACCTGTGGGTCTTTCAACAGCTGAGATTTGATGATGTTTCCGAGGGTGTGGTCTTCTTTGTTGATGGTGAACAAGCAGGCATTGGGCACCTTGGTGTCCTTGTTGATGGTGACCTTCTCGCCTTCGAAGAGCAGGAACAACTCGAAAGCGGGAGGGGCATTCATCAAGCATGGTCATTCTTAAGTAGGTCCTTGATATTTCTGAATTTACCATTTGGAGTTCCAGTGATTTTCAGCAAAGCTAGAAGGTCCATAACATTTTGAAGTTTGTTATGAGAATAATACCAGTTTGTTAAATTTGGAAGGTTACTGAGAAGTAAAAATTATGTGTAAGGAGCTCTGGTAGCGTAGTGGTTACAAATCGGGCTGCGAGCCGCAAGATCAGCAGTTTGAAACTACCAGCTGTTCTGCGGGAGAAAGATGAGGTTTTCTGCTCCTACAAAGATTTACAGCCTCGGAAACCCTGTACAGGTTTGAGTCGGAACCAACTCCACGGCACATAACAACAAGAAGAATTAACTTTAAGAAGGCTTTAGTGCACATCCCAGTTACTTGTCTACTTGTGATAGCCCTGATTTGGGAAGGTCTCAGAAGACATCCATTTACCATACTAGGGGAGTACTGTTCCACGTAATGTGGAACTGTAACACACATTTTCTCTCCCTCTCTCCATCCCTCCTTCCCTCCCTTTTGTCTTTCTTTTCCTGTCCCTCTATCTCCACCTCTCTTCCCTCTTTTTCCTCCCCCTTCATTCCCCCTCCTCTCCTTCCCTGCCCCCTCCTTCCTTTTCTCTCCCTTCCTCCCTCCCTTTTTACACACATTGCTTTAGAAAACCAGACTTCTATTATACTGTACTGTAATTAGAAAGAAATTGGTTGCTTCACATTTATATTTAACAGGGATAACCATGTGCTCTGTATTTAGGAAGATTGCTGTAAATTGACATCTCATATGCATGTGAAAGTTGGACAATGAATAAGAAAGACCATAGGAGAATCGATGCATATGAATTCTTGTGGAGAAGAATATTAAAAGTATCATGGACTGCCAGCAGAGCAAACAAATCTGTGTTAGAAGAAGTATAACCAGAATGCTTCTTAGAAACCAGGATAGTGAAACTTCGTTCTCATACTTTGGACATGTTACCAGGAGGGACCAGTCCCTGGAGAAGGACATCATGCTGGGTACAGTGGAGGGTCAGTGAAAAAAAAGAAAGACCACCAGTGAGATGAGGATGCCGTGGCAGAAGCAGTGGGCTCAAACGGAACAATTGTGAGGATGGCGCAAGACTAGGCAGTTTTGTGGTTTTTTTTTGTGTGTGTGTGTGCATAGGGTCTGTCTGAGTTGGAATCAACTTAATTGCACCTAACAACAACAAC